CGGTGAATCAAACACGTGAACTTAACAATGTTATCTAACACAAAATTACATGAGTTTTTTGCTTTCTAGTTATAAGAAAAAAGTAAGCTGAACAAGATAAGTATACAGCACTATATTAACTTCATAGTTACATATCGTTCTTTAATAACGTAATCTACAAATGCAAATAGAAACAAAAGATTCTCATAAAGTAAATATAATCATGAAGCATTGTTTATTGTCTCATAAAATGTGTGGATTCCCTTCTCAGTAATAATGTGTAGCAAGAGAAAATTCCACATAAAATTGGTTTACTGAAGTAAATAAAGATGAAATACATGTTCCGACGGTAAAAGAAAATTTATGGTTGGTGAGAGATGTAAAGATGTAAAATGGACAACTGTGAAGAAGAGTTGTAAAAGTCCATATTATACATGGCTGGTTCCCGCCTGTTGCCTCGTGTTCCTTTGATACATTGGTGTAATAAAAATATACATATTTTTACAAAATATTTGTGACATTGTTCACACGTTTTTATCACCAGTTAAAACGTAACTAAATGAACCTTAAAGTTAAGTCACAAAATACGTAAAGCGATTGTGACTGCAAAATAATATAATTTAGTTTTGGTGTAAAGGTAGAGCGCAGGATTTTGGTCCCCAAGGTCCTGTGTTCAAATCTTGTCAATCACCAATTAATTTTATCTATGGTCCGACGTCAAACAAAGCTTCATTTTATTTTAAAATACAAACTAAGTTTCATAAGGACCTATAGGAAAAAATCTAAGATACAAAAAATAACTAAACTGAGATACAAATTGATGATTTATCAACAATTAATTCATTTTGAGTCCTAGCTTTTGATGAAGACAAAACCAGGTCGTATAGGCCTACATGGGCTTACAGCCTGTGTAATGGCTAAAAAACATCTGTTGATAAAGTAACAATCCTACAATAAATGCCTCATCCATTCACACATAATATGGGTGGGGGTTTCGCTTATCGAATCTAATTTGACAAAAGTCTAACATGTGGGGTTTCCCCAAATTACTTCCCCTCTAATACTCTTGAGCAGGTTTGCTGGGGATATAAAAGTCCATGGAAGCCATTACGGTTATTACTTTATGGGGAGAAATGTAATTATCTGTTATTATTACATTACCTACTTAATAACAGGGCATGTGGAAGGTCGGGTCTTTAAGATATTGTTGGGTCAATCAATAACGCCCATACAAAAACAGTCAATACATAAAGGATATTTCTTTATACAGTAATTTCATAAACATTTGCTTCAATATCGATTTCTCATTTTTATCTTACACGGATAATTGAGGTGTAACTAACTTACCTGACAAATAATTGAACTCCGAACGGTTTCTTCAGTTTAAATCAAAAGTTCTAGAAACTTTGAAAACCTGGAAAGCATGAATTAATATCGTACATAGAAAGCAAAAGTACTACTTCCTTATGATACTGATGAACAAAAGGATTGTGATTATTAAATTTTATTGAATTCAAATAACCTATTAACTTAGGCATTGTTATGAATTACTTATTAGGTTGAATATGATTAATTCTAATTAATTCTAAATTACAATTAATTCTAATTGTAATCCTGCAATTAATTCTAATTACAGTCTACAGACAAAAGCCAATACATCGGAAAACGTTTTACAATGTAAATGGTGTCCTAGACAGATTTTAAAAAGTTATCTATTCAACGAATTGTTCTTGAACTTCTACTATATTAAATTGAAACCTTTAACAGTGTGTTATGTATATTACCTTCATGTCATTTTGGTATACGATGTATATTAGGAAAAGAATCTAAAGGAAAGCAAACTATTCTAAAAATATAAAATACACCTCACGCATGACAACACTAATTACAGCAAAGGCTATTTATATCCTTGTAAAAATTCTCTTTAACGCTTAATTAGATCATAAAACGCTGTAAAGTTCCGCCATTTTTTTGTTTTGGCGATGTTAATGCACGACCATTAACCAAGCTAACGAAGTGAGAGGGTAAATTAGGGTATAATTACGCTAACTTCATACCTTGTTACAAAACACATTTTTAAAACTTTGTAACGGCCATTTAGAGGAGAACATTTAAGTTTTAAATTACATTCAATGTCTTAATGGTGTGTTTCTATTTATTTAAATAGTTGACTATGAAACTGTTTACAGAATAGTACACCACTTATTTCTGTAACCCTAGATCAAATACATAAAAATAATATATTTAATAATATTGATATGGTGAAACATAATACATAATGATAACATGGTAAAACATCTATCTATACTATTATAAAATTAAGGTGGCGTCTGTCTGTCTATATGTGCAGCTGTCACGACTAAAATACTAAACCGATACAGCCAAAATTAAGCACATAGATGTTCCACATATCTACGAATGTCATAGACCTATTTACTTCCCTGAGTTCCTCCCGGGTTACGCCCCTTGGATGTCTCAAGTTTTTAGTTGAGGTTTTCAAAAGTAAATAGGGTTCCATAGAGTCATGAGAAAATTCAATATGTTTACCTTTGCATTGACAACTATGTAGTAGGATTATGATAACACTTTATGATAGATTATTTATTCTAAATCTGAATGATTATGAAACAGATTTTTCTTCCCGTTGCGAAGCACGGCTACAGCAGCTAGTATTATATAAAACATTACCTTACTATATTAGGTAGTAACGAGAGCAGGATTTTGACCGTTCCCTTTCAACAGGCAAAAAATTGAATTGGCGTAAAAAACCTGCTTTTGCCCTGACATGGAATCTTTGACCTCTAATATAATTAGACTTTCCATTCCCCTTTTCAAAGCAAATAGCAAATTAAAAAATAATATATAATGAATTTAGTCACTGACAGAGTACGCTGAAATAACTTACTCTCTTCTGACAAACATGCACAATTTGACTAAACCAAACTAAAAGCGTTACTTTTGTAAACTATAACATCACAGGGACTATCGAACTATTGAAAATTAGACGCTAGTGAATGTTTACATGGATAGAGCAACTCAACTAGAAACTCTACTGTACCAATAACTCTACCCGCGCAACCAGCCTCTTTAAGAGAGTCAATATAAATTAAGAGTGTTGTACTCTCTCTGTGCACTTCATTGATTATTACAACTGTGTTCTATCTAAACAAATATTGGCTGCACATAAATAGGAAAGTCCATCTGCAGTTCAGATAGAGAGCTCAATATGGAACATAACGAAACCAAGAGGATAGCCAAAATATTATCAGAATTAACCGTGTAGATAAAATATTAATGGTGTCGGGATACGAACCCACAACATCGCTGTTGGTTTAACACTGACGCTACTGACAGAGCTACCTTGGCACCAAATTGTGGATAGTAATTAACCCATAATGGGTCAAAACATTTACTTTTAGCGAATTTCCCATATAGGGAATAAGCTATTACCGTAGTACTCATGGTAAGACCTGGACGCGGGACCGATTTTTTTTTTCGTTTTGAGGTCCCTAGAGGCCAAAAACACCATCCGTTCAAATTCATATATATATATATATATATATTTATATATTTATATATATATATATATATGTGTCCGTCAGCACGATAACTCGAGCAAAAATGATCCGATTTTGATGAAATTTGGTACAAACATGTAAAAGTATGTTTATTTGAACGAGTTCGCGATCCAGCATGATCGGACCATGGGAACGGGGGTTTACGGGGGGTTTTATGGGGTAAAAATAGGTTTTTCCCATTTTTGATCCAAAAAACATAAAATTTAGCAATTTCTTTCCAAACCATTTTGTAGAGCTTAAAAAAACAAATAATTTAGTATATTGAAGCGTTATTATGCGCCTAATGGTTACGGAGAAAATTCCAAAAATTTGTAAATTTAAAATTCCCATGTTATTCTCATGGAGAATAAGTAAACTGTTGTAGTTTGCTTGTTGGTGAACATATTTTGATCAAATTTGGAAAATGTTTTTATTTCTTACTAACTATTCACATTTTACAAAAAAAAAACAGTTTTACCCTCCCTGATGCAGCAAACCTAAGTACTTGTTAAACTAATTCTATTTAAATCAAGAATAAATGTTATATTTTTAAGTAGACATTTCAGTGTAAATCCAATCAGTCAAATGGAAATTCGCTTAGTCTGCAGGTTTGCTGCGGTGGGGGTATTTTAATTATGTATGAACAAGAACATATTTCTGTAAGCCAGTCACAAATTATGCTGATGTCTAACATTATATCATTGAATATTGGAAACAGAAATAGACGTTCCATGAAATGGACCAACAGTCACCAACTTTGTATTAAAAGTACGTACTTTGTTTGAAGTTCATTGTTGGTGATGGTGAGTTAATGTTGTTTAAAGGTTTATTGCGGACTTTTTCCATCACGATGGTTAAAACCATGGTTAAGAACGTAGTTGTGTGAGCCAGTCACAGAATGCGCTAGTTGCTATTGTATAAAATTCCATTTCTACCTTATTTTTTGTTGATGACCAAGTTGATGGGTTGTTATAACATTTGCAACAGCTCACAATACGTTCCATTAGTTTGAGTTGAAAAAAGTGTGTGCATTCGACATAAATTGGTAATTTAGATCAGCACAATCAGTGGGTGACTCACACCAACTTTGACGATTTTGATTCAACAACTGGCAACAAATTTAATGTGAGAATGGTATGTCTAATTCCTAGTAAACGATTATATTTTCTTCCTTGTTTATGTCACTGAGATAGTTAACGTGACATAATTGATGCTATTGCTTAAATAAGTCGATTTATCAGTTTTACTTCGTAACAGGTTTGTGTATTCGACAGAAATCAGTAATTGACTTCAGCACAATCTGTCGGTGATTCACATCAACTACGTCCACTTTGATTGGAAACTGGCATCAACTTAAACATGAGGAATGGCTAGTTCTATCAATAATCTAAGGTCAGAATGTGTTTTGCCATCATGTTTGCCAACATTAGTGAAGCATACTCCAACCTCTTCATGGTTTTGCAGCAGTGGCGAGCCTGAGGCTGAAGGAGCTGACAGGACCCAAGTTCCCCGACCGTGGTGAGAATGTCCACCTTGTCTGCAACTTTGACACCGGAGACGCCAAACTTTACTCCGTCAAGTGGTACAAAGATGAGAACGAGTTCTTCCGGTACATGCCAGACCAGAGGCCGCCCACTCAGCTGTTTCCGCTGGAGGGTGTGCTGCTGGAGGTGAGAGAAGAGGTTATTGTGCGTGCCACAAATATTATAAAACAGAAACTGTGTGGATTATAAACACACCAAAAACGTCACTGGCACGAATCTTATGATAATAACCTAAATATCTGGGCCTTTGTCGACAGTTCCATAAAAAAAATAGAGAAATATGTTTACCTTCGAGTCAGTGACGTAATTTGTTTATGTTTATGCCCCAAAGCACAAATAGGCCTACTTAAACAGAACCGGTATGGATCATCAACATAAACAAATGACGTTACTGGCCCGAATCCTATACTAATAGCATTAACATATGGCTTGGACAGTTCCGTTGAAGCAATGCTCAATGATGATTATTTTTGGGCCAATAACATAATTTATCTTTATAATTCCTTTCGGATCTGTTCAAGTATTCGTGTCCAATACAGTTTCTGTTCTGATTTTCGTGTAACGTGCTTACTCCGATACAAGTAGACGTTTGGCTCAAATAGAGTGTTTTTTAATGGGTAGATAATGATAACGTTTGCCCTTTACTCATTTTTTTGTAGAGCTTTCTGTATGATCTGCAAACTTGCATAAACAGGATGTTACACTATTAACGGACGTTATCCTTTGTTTCCAAAAAACTAACACCAGCTGTTTTTAATCAACCCATCACATAATTTATTGAACCCTCACTCATACTACAGCCGTCTTCGAATCAAAATACACACCCTAGCGTGACAGAATCGTTGAAATCTATTCACATCCAATCTAAAATGTGTATAGTATTTCTAGAATTAAAATTGACAATTTACAATATTGTTTGGAATTTTCTTTTGTATGACTAAACTTTAGATTTTGTTACCAACTAGCTGAGTTTAGTGGTCCCATATGCATAAATGGTGCTCGTAAGGTCATCAACATGTCTCCATTTCAATCCTGAGATGAGTGAGCAACTTTTTGATGGTTCGAAACTGAATTAAGCTTTCCTTTATCATTGCCCTTTTAATAAATGGTCCTGACTCTTAAACAGCTGTTCTTAGTCAGTACCTAAAGCTTTGTTACAGACCAAGATCAGCTGGTCTTTTGTCTTTTGTCTTTTGTCAGCCAGGATAATTTGTCAGATAGCCTTGAAAGTAATTTAAGTACCTTAAATTGCAATTTTTTATCAATAAAAATTGCACCTGTAACATTAGTTACCTCCCGCTATCTCCGCGTCCCGCCACCTCCGAATTTCAGAGTGACCCCTATAATCCTCGGTTACTTCCTGCGTTAAGACTCCCCGTCCAAACCTAACCTAACTTAACCTAACCTAACCTAACCTGACCTAACCTAACCTAACCCACGGGTTAAATTTTCATTAAATCTTCCATCCACGGGGCTTCGCAGCCGTGGATGCAATGACAGCTAACAACGCAGGCAGTGATGGAATTATAAGGGTCACTCAAGAATTCGGAGGTGGCGGGACAGATTTGGGCTCGGAGGTGGCGGAACGCGGAGATAGCGGGAGCACACGGTAACATTTAGGTAGATATGTTGAGGTAGATTAAGCTGAAACCCCTTCTTCTAACTGTTAACAGTGTTGTGTAAGATTTGTTAACTGATCTATGTATCTGTCTGTTCAGGAGTCGCTGTCAGGTATAGATCACGTGACTCTGAGAGATGTTACATACGACACCAGCGGCAGCTACAGATGTGAAGTCTCCACAGAGGCTCCTAACTTTGAAACGGTTTTCTCGAACCACAATATGTCCGTCCTATGTAAGTATTTTACTTTAGAAGTTTATTTCAAATGAAAATAACCCTCCGGAATAAGCTCACGTCCAACTCTAACACTTTCCATTCTTGGAATTTTCTGTAGGATTACATGTGATGTTGATATCGGGTAAACTACCTACTTGCGGCAAACCTGCGTAACAAGTGAATAACAGGTGGCTTTACTAAATTTTAGTTAAAAACGATTAAAGGCATAAATTCAACAAAATCCTTTTACAGAACATAATTAAACATAGTATTTAGCATCATGGCGGTCTTACATTAGCAGACGACTATTTCACGGATAGTTCCGTCCATTCTATGTACATGAAGCTATGTTGTTCTGTTATCCAACCAGTGTGGAAAACATGTACACCGAATACGAGTAAAACGGTATACTGTATTAAAACCCCATTGTTAAATTGTTAAGTCACAAATAGAGACTGCAGCTGCTAAACGGGCCTATCTACAAAACTGTTTGAGATAATCGCTGTTAAAGTTATAGGTTATTTTTTGCTGCATGCATCGGCAGTAGCAAGGCCACACAAAAAAAACTTTAGTTTTGGTTTTTTAGTGTGGCCTTGGCAGTTAGTAGTCTATGCTTCCTGGTGACACCAGCTGGCCTTAAAAGTCATGCCAACCAAACAAACTGAAATACACCATTTCAAACTATCTAAGATTATACTATAAGATATAAAAAAAGCATAGTGATTCTCCTCTCAAAGGCTCCGTCCTAAAGTTTTACACGAAGTGCCTTGATTAGGTTATGTTTGGCTGCTGTCCGCGTTGGCAGTTGGCACTCATCTATGCTAAAAGGGCCTAGTGACTCCAGCTGGCTTTCAGAGACGTACCAACCAAACAAACTGAAATACGCCATTCCAAGTGATCAAAGATTATACTAGGAAACATAAGGAAGCGAAATAGCAAATCTCATTTATTGGAGCCCATCTCAACTTAGACCCCTTTTAGCACATACAGCCTCTTTAATGCACTCAAATGTCACTAAAAAACAGGCTAAAGATTTTGCCTTCGACGAAAATTCTATTAGCACTATTCTAATGGTCAAAGGCTATTAGGACGTCCCTATGTATTCAACGTGACGATACAATTATAGCTACAGTCAATTTAAATTGACATACTTTTTGGGGCTGCCTAATGTAAATTGTGTTTATGATCAGAAATACAATAAATACAAGAGTATTGGTAAATAATTGTATATCATCAAATATAATTTGTATTTAAATTTCCTTTATTGTAACCATTTCAGTTTCGTTCAGATAAAAAATTTTGAATAACATAAGAGGTATTGTAAAAAATAAATAAACCACAAGAATAATCTGTTTGGGTACAAACTCGTGAGCTTAAACCCGCGATGAATATAAATCCACGATCCAATTATGAAATTTCTCATGAAATGAAACTCAATGTATCCGAGGAAAACAAGATTTGTATTATGCAAAGCATGAGTTCGTCATAATCCCCACGTTACTGTGGCGACCGTATCATAACGCGGTCATTTATATGCCACAACCAGCTAACGGTTCGTTCTCCTTTATAAACACTTTCCTTGGTGTAATAGAAATTTGAACCCTTCGCAAAAGAGAAAACTCTTTACATTTTAATTAATTGACCATCTTGACCATAATTAGTCTGATAAAAATGCGTCATTTGCCAACTAAATGTTTTGTATTTGACGTTCAACTTTTCGAATTCTGCACGGATTAGTACAGAAAACGGTATAGATAATGAAATTATAAAAAGAATCTTTGCCCGAAAGTAGACGAAACTTAAGTATCCCAAACCCATTCAAGTTTTGTGTATGTGCCAGGGATCGAACCAAATTAAATTCAGAAATGAAATGAAGCAAGACTTAAGTAGTTACACAAATAAACAAGCAAAGCCTACATTCATTATGATTTCAATTGTCTTATGCTCAGTTAAAATGTGTTTTATAATTATTATTATACTATCTAACTATACCGGACATTGTTTAATATCCTTGCTATATTACGTTTTGCCTCTCTTGAGAATTCAGATTCTAGATCCCAAAGATTAACTAAAGATTGTTATTACTTACCGCAATGGAAAAAAACCAATGAATCCTTTGTGTCTTTTATTATTATAGTAACACACCCAAAACATTCTTACCGCCCGTTGACTTATAAAATGAGAAATTAACCCAAATCCAAGCTAAATAAAGCTGCATACTTCAAAGAGACCAAAAGTCTAAATAAGTATTTGAACAATTATTTCTCTCTCCAGCTGTAAGGTAAATGCACCAGTAGCTGACAGTATAAGAAACTATACGCACTTAATAGTCCGTGGTTTTGAATAAATGGGAACTAAAGAGATATTACGGATTTTATGTGATTCTAAATTTAGTGTAGTTTTCAAATTTGTCATACAAAAAGGGTTTTTTAAATATATTTTATAACATTTTTAAACTTAATTCAACCTTTGTACGTGTTCCAATGGCTGACAGTGAAAAAAGTGCTTGTACCAGTAGCTGACTGTCGGTTGTCCCAGTAGCTGACACTGGAACTATATGTACTAGCTGCTAAACCTAAGGGTTTTATAATTTGTAAGACGAATAAAATCTAACTTAATAATTAAATTATAATATCATGTAAAACGTTACGAAGAAAATTTATTTTACATATTTTAAAATAAATAATATTTACATTAAAAATATATATATATTTTATATATATTTAAAAAATATACATTTTTTAAGATAATTTGGCTTATAAATTAAAAAATTAAAATCATTTTATAAAAATTTAAGATCACATAAATTATAAATAGCATGCAAATTTCGATGGGTAACACCAATTTAATATTGTGCAAGAAGCAAATATCCCCTGTCAGCTAGTGGAACTTGTATGGCTTTTGTGTACCAAAGCCTGACATTGATATAATTTTAAATCCAAAACCCCTAACACCCCAATTTTATCCTGAAATTGTCAACAAAGGTATAATTGATAAAAATAATGAGCCTAATCATTAATACTATTTAAGAAATTTAGCGAAATTCCAAAAAACCAAACTTACTTTCTTAACAATTTCATTAAGGGAATCGACTAAATGTGATGTAGGGTCGCTTTCAAACCACCACCATTCAGCGAGTATGGGCTAAATTTCACTGATTTGTTTGTAAATAAGATCAAGAATAAATATATGTTCTTCTAACAATGCAATCATGTGAGCCATTCTTTGTTTAAAGTTACTTTCTGGCGATGGCGAGTTTTTATTGACTAAGGGATTATTGTAGAAATGTCCTATCACCATCATGATCAACAGTTTAGGTTGTATCTTCCTGTATTTAGTATAAATTGTTAGTTACTTATAGTCTGTATGAAGGACCCTGTCTCCTGACTGTCCGTTTACTTGTGAACTGGCCAATGGTGCAAGGCCAGTCCCAGGTAGAGGGTCAGGAGACAGGTTCCATCATACAGACTATAGTAACTGTAGTAATTTTTTCCCTCTTTTTTCAGCTTACCCTCAGGATGATCCTCATCTGGTGGCCGCCCAGGATGTTTACTCCTCCGGAGAGTTGGTTCTGGTGAACTGTTCAGCGCCTCCTACCTACCCTCCGCCCAACATCACCTTCTACATCAACAACGACAAGGTAGAGAGCAGAAATTTGTAGGTTCCAATGATAGATTTGAGATTTTTTTGGATTTTTGTTAAAATATTGATTCACATTTGATTTACAATCACGATCAAATGTCATGTCGACCAAGTGACTTGACGGTCAAATGGCTTGTCGACCAAGTAACGTGACGGTCAAATGGCTTGTCGACCAAGTGACTATACGATCAAATGGTGCCGCTGTGGGAAACTCATTAAAAAGATAATCCTGGGGCTACTCTGTACATATACCCTTAACAAAATGGTAATTCCTCTGAAGGCCAGGTAAGATCCATCTGTTCAATGGCACTTCCATATTGCTAAAGGTATAAAGATAAACATTCTCCATTTCACCCTCCACTTCTTACTCCAACTCTTGTTGCCCAGACGGAAGAGTGGCTGCTGGAGCGTGGCCCCGAGACGCCCCACGAGGATGGTACCCGCTCTACATGGACGGCACTCCGCTTCCACGCGGAGAGACAGCATTTCCTCCCTCCAGAGGACGTGCTAGAGGTGCGGTGTGACGTGGCGGCGCCGCCGCTGCCGTCGTCGTCTGTTCGCACCCATCTGTACCTCGCTACGCCACACTCTTCCCCCAACCAGAAACTTGCTCAAAAAACCTACAGGAATCACGGTAGGTGATTTTCAAAGTACCTAAAGTCTATCGAGTACCACAAAGTATGGGGAGCGAGCTGGTATAATGGAAAAGCGCGGAACTTCGGTTCCCGAGGTCCCAGGTTTAAATCCCACCAATCCCCAATGAATTTTATCTTTAAAAGTACCAAATAGAAGATCAACATTTTTGGGCGTGTCCACTGACTTGGATACTATACGAAGGTCAATGGTTTAGAATTTGACTATTTCAAACCAGCGAGCAAGGAATACCTTCAAATAGCGAGCAATGGTATTTCTTGCTCGCTGTTTCAAACAAGCATTTGGCAATCCTCTAGGTAATCATGCCCTAGTCTAGACAGTGTGACAATTTATTCAGTTTTCCCAACAGCTACAAATGAGTAACACCGTTTGGTTTGTTTTATTTTAAGTAAACTCAATTGTTTGTCATCCAAGTTTACCAATGCATAAATAATAATTTTTTGTACTGTATAACGAAAGGTTGGGGTTCACTTTTACATATTCTATCCTAGGACGCTACAAAATGGTCTCCAGCGGAACGAAATCCCTCGAGAAGTGATATTCATTAAAGCGCAGTTGGTACTCCCATTTCTTACGCCTTTTTCCTATGTACAGGAAGACAGCTCTCTTAAACAAATCATTTTGATTGAATAAATCAAAAACGAATACTGATCGATTTTAAGCATCTTAGGGTACTTTTGTTTTATCTACCTCTGAAAGAAGTTGAGAATTTACCAATTATGGTAGTTTAACAGCCTTGAGTTAATACGCTTGAAATTGTTGGTGGGTTAATGTGTTGGTTTGATTCCGTTCTGCATCATCTATTATGTCCACGTTTATCTCATTTGATCAATTTTCCAACTTTAAGTATTCAAATGTTGATTATGAATACATTATTTTACCTTTTATGTTATAAAATACTTTGAGTCAAATAAAACAGTTATAATCACAAATATCTTTTTCTGTTGCTTACAGTTTATTCAATTGATAAAATCGAACCGTTAAATAAATATTTCCTACAGTCACCTGACAAAGTGGCCTTTCTTGCACTGATTATAGCACAGAAAGTTGCTAATTGCTGCATTTACTTGCTTTGGCCGAACACTTTTTACTTTTGCCGCACACCAGTATTCCAACCAAACAACACAAAACAGCGTGTTTTTATTAGGAACGTGCAATAATACGTATACGCTTGAAAATAAATTGGCAACACTGAAAGATATTACTACTACGATCAGCTGGTGCAGCGTTTCCCATTTCGTTCAATGTTTGCATTTAACCTAACCTAAAAACGCGTTATACAGTGTTAGAAAGACTTATTATTTATATTTTTTATAGTAACTCTAGGAAAGATTGTATAATGTGTAACGCGAGTGCAATGTGCCACTTCGCCATCTCAATTGTGTTCTAGTTTTATGTGCGTTAGAATTTGATTAAGTTGATTTCTGTATCTCCACACTTAGAGCTAAATTTGAATTTAATTAAATCCAATTTCTTTACATTTACTTTGAACTCATTAAGATTTACAAAGTCTACACAAATAAATACTTTTATTGTTTCCGTAATTAGGAAATTCACAGCTAAACGTTTGACCGCTCAAGCGGAAAACTTGTTTGTAAACTAAGTTGTTGCTGGTTCTTAATTGAAAATTAAAAACAAAAACAGTTGCTTGTTTTCCAAAAACAAAATTTTCCAACAAAGTAATTACAGTTCAGTTAATCTAGCTTGATTACGGTCCTTTGTTGGGAGTTCAATTTATTAGCGCTCTCGGTCCAGCAAAAACTCAAAGTTCGAGTATTTTTAAGTAGTTTGATTGATGTTTTGAGCAAAATTAATCGAAAGTAATCGTTGCTGTGTTTTTATTGAAAGTATCTTCTTGAAAAAACATTTCTTCTCGAAGAGTTTCATTTACAACGTTACATTAAGCAATTTCCATGTTATTCACAAAGTTTACTTGATTGGTATTTTGATTTTGTATTTAACAAACTGCATGGTTCTTCTAAATTTTGTTAACTTGTTTTCTATTAAATTAAAAAAGCCTTAACCGTTAATGAACAAGTTCAATGGTATATTTTTATGGTTCCTCTTCATCAGAGTTTCTTACAATGATGTTACGAAAGTTCATTTAAAATTTAAACCAACAATTCATGTGGAAACAGGAATAGTTTGGTGATTATTTTGTGCCTTAAAGCATCTTAAAGTATCTTAAAGGAACCTTGTTTCTGTAATTAATTAAACATTATTATTAAACTGTATGTCAGTAACTCGGTCATTATGACGTCTGTAAAACCAAAACAGATTGTGAGTTAGGTACCAGTGCAGCCATATCCCGATCAAAATGTTTAGGCATATATGGTCAATTTTTAGGAACAAAATAATAATAGATAGGCTACATAATTTACTTATCAATTTGAAGACCGTGTTTTGCAATCGATTTATTGTTTTTGTTTCTTTATAGCATAAAAGGAAAAATAAGGGTTGAGCCACGAAAGCGTTGATTCAAGTCGTCTTGATAAACTAAATTAGGACGATTTTGCTTTTTGGTATTTACGACAAGCTGAAATCCTCTATTAAAAACATACTGCAAATATGTTTTGTTAAAAATTAGGTCACAGCCCCAAAATATATGTTAAGCTACATCTTGCATTGTAATTCTCAAGTTTTATTTATTGTGTTGTAGGGAGAGCTGTCGTCGTGCCAGGAAACATGATCCTGCTAGCTGTTCTTCTTTTCTGTTTATGACAATGAATTTAATGCAAGTATAATTCAATGTGATCAAACCATGTTTAATACATTCCATTAGGTGAGCGTACAATTTGAGAAGTTCCTTAAACAATTCTTCCGTTTATGAATTTATTTTGGAACCTTAAAATGCCAATGTATTTTCTATTTGTTCAAATTACGCTTTTCAAACCTGATAGCTGCCATGATATTTCATATTGTAAATCTCATATAGCAATAACAGTGTGATATATTTTAATCTGTTAAAAATAAATGGAATAACTTTTTAAAATCCCGTATCGATAAGTATTGAATGGTAAGTTAAAACATTTTTAAATTTATATGCGGGAAAAAAATATTCTCTCTTTCTATTCAGCAAGTACAGTTTTTTATTAGTACAGTTTTTTTCTAACAAGCTGTTTCCTATTATGAATATGGATATGTTGTGCTTATTTATCATTTACTTGTGGAGGTTTTCCCTCAAAACTTTTAAGGCCTTTGGAAGTGTTCACTTTGAAAATTCATACAGTAACATTCTGTTTACTTTTCAGTAGTAAATTTATTTGTCAAAGACATGTAATCCGTATTAAAATTTAATTTAAATGAAAAGTTATCAGGTCCCTACTTAATTTTCTTTGCAAAAATAAAAATTTGATATATTATATCAAAGTTGTTTATTTTCATTTTGAATCATGACACTAATGTGACATTATAGTTTAGTTACAATTTATTTAGTTTAAATCTGTTTCCCTCAAACATTAAATATGATTGAACAAAAACTATACAGAAACACTATCAAAGCAGATACAAAAACAATCCAAGTATAGATTTGATATATTGATGTATATCAACAATAGGCAATACAACGATCAAGTATTTTCCCATAGATACGTTAGTATACAATCTACAATACAACTGCATTGTTGGATGTAAGGTTGAAATATCATACAAAACTCACTTGTTATACAATCATTATAATTATTTAACATTTTTCCAGTATTATTACTGTACGCTGTTCACATAATGGATGTATTAAACTGTTTGACTTTTAATATGTCTCAAGCAATGAGCTATACATCTCATATGAAATTATAGCAATGATAAGCTAAATAACTTTTGTACTAAAATAACCTCTTCCGATTTTCGTCATAGTTAAGTCTGTAATGGACAATGTACAGAGTGTATGGATGAATGTTGAATTTGTGTTTTCAATCTTTTAAAATGTGATATGTTTTGATTTTATTTTTATATTAAAATGTAACTAGGAGTAAGTAATTTTGGAAACGTTAAGCTTGAAACCACTGAAAAATAATTTGTCTGTGAATATTTATTCTTAAATTTACATAATATAGATAAGTTGTATAATATAAAATATTTAAATGTATTTCAATAATAGTGTAAATATACATATTGTACTAAGTGCTAATACCTTTAACATAAAAAGTATATTTTGCAGAATAAACTTAGGAGTACGGTGTAAGTTAATTGTTCGTTCACGACATTGTGGTAAAATTTTATCCATATTTAAGTGTTATATTGGTAAAAATTGGAAAGGAAAAAACATGATTAATTTATTGCTTTTAGGTTGCACAATTAACTTTTTAAGTATTTTATCCAATGAAATTTTAGCTTTTTCACTAGCAATGTTACTTTAAATTGTTCACAACTTTTCAACCACTTGAACTTCTCCTAGGCGATGTTTGTAATGATAAATTCAAGTTTAATTTTTATAAGCCCCTCTCTTCTTCAACTTTCCATTTGAAATAATTAAAAACTTACCTAATTCCCTACAGTTATTGTGATATACCTAACGTACGAGCTAACGTAATTGAACTATAATGCGGTAAATTTAATAGAAGTCAATATATTTGTGAACTATGTGAAAAGAACAAATTAAAACACTTTAACATTTCCATTATTTTATTTAAATATATTTTTCTAAAATAATCATATTTTAGGTTTGGTTTATTGTTGAACTATTGTAGAAAGCTATTCTGCAATGGTCTATACAAAATAAAATATAAAACCTTGAGCAATTATAGATTTTTTTTATTTTCATGAATTATGTTAAGGCACGTTACTGCTTTTGAAATACATCTAATTGGTCCTACAACGATTATGTAAATATGATAAACCAATTCTTGTGTATAATAAACATCTAGTCCTTATGTATTGTGATGTACACCTTTAGAAGTAATAATCTTGTAAATGACTGTAAATGTGTTGTTTCTTTACCCTGTGAGTCTCAATCGTTTCAATAGATGCAAGTAAAAACCGGGAAACGAGTTTGATTCAAAGAAAAAATACAAAACATTAACAATAGGTTTTTCCTACAGTCACCTGAGAAGGTGAAATTCCTTGCACTAATTATAGCGAAGAAGGTTGCTAAATGCTGCATTTACTTACTTTAGCCGCACTGTTTTTTCCCCACCAGTATTCCTACCAAACAACACAGTTTACTCTTATTATGCACGTATAGACTTCCATGGAATGTAAAATTTGAAGCAATAAAACCTGGAGCAATCTGTTGAGATTGTCTACCAACTAGTGACAATATTATGTGTCAAGTGGTAAATCAATCAGCTGTTTGCTATGATACTGCATTAGTTTTTTTTTATTAATATTTAACCCAATACACTAGTAAACTCTGGTGAGATGCTCCTGAACTTAATCTATTTTCTTGGCTTCAAACATTTATATCACATGGGAAGTCTATGTAATACGTGTACTCTTAAAAATAAATTGGCAGCACTTAAAGATACTACGACTACGATAAGCTGATGCAGTGTTTTTAATTTCGCTTAGATTTAACTTAACCTAAACGTGTTGTATAGTGTTTGAAAGGCTATAGTTCGGCCGCTTAGAAAACAACCTCCTCTAGCATTGGTTTAGCAGTAGCGAGCAGGTCGCTTTCTAAGCGGCCGAACTATAGTAATTTATACGCTTTATAGTAACTGTAGGGAAAATATAATGTGTAACAGTGCAAATTGCTTTTGCTGCACTCGAGAAACTTTCCACACTCGCCTGCGGATAGTGTATAAACATTTCTTTCATGTGCAGCCAAGTGTCACTTCGCACACTAGGTAAACAAATGACTAATTGTTTTATTCGAAATAGATAAAAAAATAAAATAATAAAAATATAAACGTGTAAACTTAAATTTATCGGAGTATTTGAACGGGGTTTTAAGGAGTAAAAGTTGAGCCCCCCCCCAAAAAAAAACCGTAATATATTGCAATTACTTTTAAATTATTTTTTATATTAAAAACAAATCAATTATTGCTCATAAGTGTTGTTGTATGCCTAATGAATGTTTCGGAAGACAATTTTTAAAACTGACTGAATTTTCCCATGTTTTTTAATAGAATAAAATAACCTGTTGTAGTTTGCTCGTTTAGGGAATATTTTGATCAAATTTGTTTAATTCATACTTAGCTTTTTTAATTTTAATAAAACCCTTACTTGATTACCTTTCCTGTGGCAGCAAAACCTAATTACAAATTTGTGTTATTTAAATATAAAATAAATCTGTCATTCAAGGGGACATTTGAGAGAAAAATCCAACCAAATGGAAATTTGCATAGTGTGCAGGTTTTCCGCATTGGGAGTATTCTATTCGGATGACAAACTTAATTTTTTTTTATGGACAAAACGTAATAGTTAAATAAACTATAAATATAAATTATGGTATATACCTTAGGTCTACGTAAAATTAAAAATTACGCAACATATCTCGTAAGTAAGTTGATATGTCTAGTTATTATTCGAAGTAAAGATTAATCGAATTCAGGTGTATTTGCACCACATTTAGATTACGGCCAGCGATTTTAGGTGTTGGTTTTCTCTCTGAAAAATACAAAATAGAGAGGCGAGTAAATGTGGATAACTGATAGCGCCACAAATCATAAGGAAGTCTCATGCCAGCTTGATTACCTCCGGGCAGTGAAGTAAAATAAATCTTCCAAAAACCATCAGCAACTGCCCTTCCCCGTGGAGGAACACATTAGGGGATTACAATGTGCTTTAAAACTTAAAAAAATACGTCCAGGGAAAATATTTATCAATATAAATAAAAGTTTTAACAAGATAAAAGTTTATTTTAAACAGACTAACATTTATATTAAGGGTCCTTGGAGGCTAGCGGCCATCTTATGGTTTCAAACAGCTGCTGAAGAGTTATTTATCGTCCAAAAAAAATATTTATCAATAGAAATAACAATTTGAACAAGATTTAACATTTAAAATAGACAAATATGTATATTAAACCGGTAGTTATAGACCGTCAATCGATTATAATGATTGACAATTATATGAATATAATTATTTATAATTTTTTAATCTATAACCACATTTGTTTTTTTGTAGAACTGCAAACAAATCACGCATACATTTACCGTTGTAGGGTGTTTAGTTAGCAAATGAAATATTTATGCCCATTAACTGTCATTAAAATGAATGAAACCGTTTCATTGTTAATTAGAAAAACGTCAACCAGCAGAGGAGCATATAGCCGGTGTGATCTGTTTGTATGGTTTATCTAGGTCATATTCTTAACGATTGAAAAATAAATAAATAAATGATTAACAGACTTTAAAAAAAATTCTATATTCCAGCTTAAGCCTTCTTCAGGAAAAATAACAAAAACAAATTATTTGTTTATCACTTGTATCTGAGGGTCTCTGATGGTAAAAAATATATAATTTATAAGGAAAGAAAAAAACTATTGAAAAAACAAAAACATTTTTTGAAGGAAATTTTTTTTATATACTAAGCAGTTGGGGAGCGAGCTGCTCTTGTGATAGATCTCGGGACTTGGGTCATTGAGGTTCCGGGATCAACTCCCACCGAAACCCCAATGGGTTTTATCTTGGTGATAATGTCGCAACCTCTAGGTCGAACCTGAAAGAATGTGAAAAAGATGTCGGGCTATATCCTTAGCATCTTAGGACAAAAGAAGTAGACGAACTCAAGTGCCGTTTGTACTAAAGTAGCTTGACCAAAGTAATGTGTAAATTCACCTCCAGATCGATTATACGAAGTTTTAGTTCAATTGCTCACTTTAGATAAATGAATTACAATTTATGTTTTGTATATATAAATAGTTTTACTAATTTTAGGTATTAGGTAAATAAACTAAATATAAACCACCATATTCAAGACCAGTGACAAACCTTCAGCGATCATCGTTTCCCTCATTAAGAGCTGGCGGAGTTTCAAGGTTCGTTAATTTTTCTCCATATTTCCTAACGGTTCTCGAGCACAGGCGGTCATTAAAACTCTAAACTCTCTTGCATAAAATTATTAG